TTATATATTTGAATAATACCCTGAATCTAGCTGGATATTTTTCAACTTTCCAACATATACCCTGTATGCAGCTGGATAGCAAAAACATTCTATCCTGCACACCCCTACAAAGAACTTCATTCTTCAAGTAAGTAAGGTAAGAGCAAATTGCTCCTTTATAGGTGTTAATATTTAGGTGAGATATGGGCGAGCATGCCACAGTCGGTAAGTAAAATTGTCTAGCATGAAATGCCAGAGTTAAATAATAATATCAAAGTACTTAAGTAGGAAGCGTTATATGTCAACATGAAACATGGGCAGAGTCTATAAGTACCGCTAGACACTTCCCTTGATGAATAAAATTGTCCGGCATTAGGCAAGATAACATTTAATAACAAAGTGCTGAATATTGGGCTTATTGGAGTGAAATGGGTAATTCCAAAAACATATACAGAGTCTATCAAGACTCAAGTGGAGAGTGCTAATGTGTTGATGGTCATTTATAAGACAAATCATAAATTAATCTTGCTTTGTATTACATGCACATTGGCTTTTTATCACATTTCTGGTAGCCAATGCTGAATGAACAAAATCCATGGATTGAGTTGCATTGCATTTTGATGCAGCCCGCTTGATTATTTTACCCTGTCTAATGCCAGACGATTTTACTTGTCAAGGAGAGATCACTGGTACTTAATGGATTAAAGACAATAAAATAGGGATGTAGGCACATTAACCAATTAATCACCAGCACTTCCACTCACAAATATGTCTGGCAATTGACATTAGACAGGAATACAATAAAGTAGGGGTAGAAGTTACTGTTAAGTAAAATGTTTTGGCAACACAGCATATTGTCCAGTGCACATGGTTAAAGATGTGCTACCTTCAAATATTTTCTGTTCTTCTTTTTAGTGTTCGAAAGTTCACAATTGGCAAATTTCAAGCTGTAGTAAAAGCACAACCTCAAAAACAATTTTTGTATCTTTCATGATGTAGTTCAGAAAGCAATTTGTTGGAATATGAAGACCTTCAAATGTGTTTTCTGTTTGATCAAAGGCCTTGAAGAAACAAAACTGCTTCCTGTTATCATCCAGGTCATTACATTGGATGGCATTTGTGCATGTAGGAGAGTTGCAGATCTTAATAGATTTATGGATCTAAACTGAAATTTATGGAACTAAATTATATGGATTTATGGGACTAAAATCAAATTAAATATGGATTGATAATAAACAAATCAAAGTGTTGTTTACATTTTTGGGCTTGTACAACTTGTAAACAGTAAATTACACTGGATGTTAAAGTTTCATTTACTTGGTTCCCTTTGTAAAAACAACACACAGTAATTTTAGAAGGGCCATTTTGGCCCCATAGGGCCATTTTGGCTTTTCAGAACCGGGGCCGTTTTGGCTCTAACAGGGGCCAAAACAGAACATTAGGGGCCAAAACAGAACACTAGGGCCGTTTTGGCCCTTATTTTTCTAGCCGTTTTGGCCATGTACAGGGCCAAATTGGAATGTTAATGGCTAAAATAAGAATTGTGTCACTTTGCAATAAGTACCCTTTTGGCTCTAACCAGGGCTAAAACGGATAACAAGGGCTATTTTGGCACCTCGAGGGCCGTCTTGGCCCTTATTCTTAATGCTATTTTGGCCCTAAATTGAGGTGCTGTTTTGACCCACATATTTAGGTGCTGTTTTGGCCCTATATTTAGTGCTGTTTTGGCCCATATTTAGGTGCTGTTTTGGCCACATATTTAGGTGCTGTTTTGGTCCCCATATTTAGGTGATGTTTTGGGCCCATATTTAGTGCTGTTTTGGTCCCCATATTTAGGTTCTGTTTTGGCCCCATATTTAGTGCTGTTTTGGTCCTCGTATTTATGTGCTGTTTTGGTCCCATATTTAGTGCTGTTTTGACCCTCTTACTTATTGCTATATTGGCCAAGTACAGGACCAATTTGGGATGTTATTCTAAATGACTAAAATTCAACGTCTGACGACCACAACAGTTCTTCGTCTGCCAACGTTAGAGGATCTGCCACATTTTTCGTCGTGTCAATGCCAACACGTGCATGTCAGTTCTTTCATCCTTAAATCCAAAGCGTTTCTAAATTATGAAAAATTGGCGTCGTTCTTTGCCTAGCCTGTGAGCAGGCTCACTGGGAAAAAAGTGAGCCTGAACGGAACCATACGTTACATTCAATCATCCCCTTTTCGCATCTGCTAAACGCGAACCAATCAGCGTCAACTGCGATAAATATACTGTCAACTGTCAAATTGACGCAAGGCGTGTACATTGTACAACGAAGAAATGTAATAATTTATATATAAACAATAATACGAAGCATTTATAGCAAGCCGCACAATATATTACTCGGAAAAAATATAGAATTCTCCAGATAATAGATTAATAGTTAATAATCAATACACATACAAATATAAAGCCGAATAAAGTACATCGTTGGCATGAATGTAAATAATACTTGTACTATGTGCGACTGAAAGAGCAATGTTCTGAATATTTGCAGCAATTAAAATACGGTCAGATAGATTGGGATTTGGAATACCGAATACGTCTAAAATTTTATAAACTGTGGTCTAAATGAGCATGTATTTATTAATTTCTTCGAAATCACGAGTGTGCCAATAGTGGAAGCCGTTGGACGACAAAATTGTCAGCAGTTTATACAATAAATAATACAAGGTTTAATGTACGACTTACGACATTCGCACGATATATATTTATCTAAATGACATGCCGGCGAGGATCAACAATATAATTTATATTCGTACATATTTGGGTATCTTTAGTGTATGCCTTCGCTTGCTAACTAACGAGAATAATCCGTGAAGCCATCTCTAGAATATGTCAATATAACGTCTGCAATACGACGACCTCAAAATGTACTACACTATAGTTTGATGTCAATCCGAAGACGAAGTTCAGAATAGTTTTGTGTGTTAGATTTAAGCGATAGATACAAGTCATTTATGATACACGTTTTTGCTGTGATGCTTCGCTATTGCTTTTAGTTTCCATTTCTATTTTTATTTTTATTTTGTTCGATAGTCTTATAATATTAAAAAGAATCAAGTTCAAAATGCTGTTGTTTAATAAACTTTGTCAACGAGTGTAAGCCAATCAGATGCCTGCGTCTCTATACGAACGCCACTACCAAGAAAACCCATAGTTCCGTGCAGGCCCTCCTTTCTTCGCGCCGCCCGTAATCCAGGAGGGCCTGTTCGCAGGCTAGTGTTCAGTGGGATTATAGACTCCCTCGAACTAGTTAGACTGTCTAAATGCCGTCTAAATGCCGTTATGTTTTCCATTAACATTCGCTTTGCCAGCGCGGGCGAAGCGTTCGTTGTTTTTGTTTGACGACCGTCACGCCCGCGTGAGCAGATTTTCAAAGCCCACTCCTTCCGCGCGGGCAAAGCGACTGCAATAGAAAATTCTCGGGAGTCTATACCACAGAACACACGGGATCATTGTCTATCCTGTACATGGTCAATTGTACCGACTGCCTTTTTGAGGTGGGAAAATTGACTGAGCATAAGCGAAAACGGCTCGGGTTTTCAACGGGAGAAGAAGATGCGTGTTTCCACTCTGTTGATTTAAAAAACATAAACAACTTGAACAAAGCCTTCGAAAGACAATTTTGCAGCGGCTGTTTAGGGGCACCAAACACCACAAAAATTGGATTCCCGAACAAAAAATGTTGCAGTAAATACTTTGATTTCCTCTATTGTCACATATTTCACAATATAACACTCGGCTTCGCCTCGGGAAACATCCACGGTCTCCTGTCCACAAAACACACTGTTTCCCTCGGTCTCAGTAAATAAGTGATAAATATTCCACGGTAGATCCACCGTGGGATATTATAGTATCTCACGCGTGACGCGTGGACAACACGCTCTGAAACAATATGGCGTTCGCGAGCTGTTGTTTGTAATTTCGTACAGAAGATTTATTGATTTAGTTATTAAAACAAAGATTTTCAAGACGTATGTTACCTTCAACGATCCAAAGGATACATGCTCAAATATTTTAAAGAGAAAACGTCAAAAACTCAGGTATACATAAGAAATTAAAAATTGTATTTGCTTCAAGTTTTGAAGTTTATTCTGAACTTGATGGGTTCTTTAACTTTCTGTATAATATATCATTTACAGACCCTCCGCTCGGGGGATTCGTCGACATATTACCCTCAGTTATGATATTTTCCTCAAGGGAAAGCCCCTCGGAAAATATCATCAGTTCAGGTAATATTACGCCGAATCCCCCTCGTTCCGGGTCTATAAATGATAATTAGCAACTGCTGGAATAAGTGATATCGGTCGATAGTTATTTGGATCGTCCTTTTTGCTTTTCTTAAATATTGATGTTACTCTGGCCATTTTCCACCTAGGTGGAAATATGCCAATGCTAATTTTTATTGATCTGGCAAATATTTCAGTTAGTGAGTGTGAGATTATTTCAGCCGCTAACTTTATACGCTTATTAGGGTGTTTAGCGGCAGTTAACACAGAATAATGATCAGTAACAGATGGGCCACTCAGCGGTGCAACGTGTCCTCGTTTTTTTATGCAAAAACATGCAGTTTACTGGCCAGAAGGCGGCGCATCCAGCCAGTACAGCGTGTTTATTGGCCAGAAAATGTCATTGACTGGCTAGGAAAATGGCGGCCAACATGCGTAATGCGACATGCGCAAGGACAGAAAGTTCAAAGCTTCCGACGTAAGTGGCCCTTCTATATGGATCTTTATTCTATGGCAGCTAATATTGATTTATAACGATGTTAATTAGTTTATAATTAGGCCACTCGTTCGTTTGAGTTGTTGAAGTTAAAACTGACAATAATTGCCTCGTACATTATGAATGTTAATGATTCTTTACAACTTATTTATGCGCCCTGGCATTAAAAATACATGCTATATTTCACTGTTCAATTGAAATATCGGAAGAAGTTATAGCGCTTCCCATTTATGTTTACTTACATTTGAAAAAAAAATTACATGCACTGGGGAATAATGAATATGCTGAATCAGTTCAAATCTTTAGCACTGTATTTGCACTTTTGCACTTCTGGAAAGTATTCAGTTCTACTGTTATTATTCTGGCTGCTGCATATTATCAAATGCCAGGGGATCAATGCGGCAGACTTTTGTTTCGATGGCAATAGAGAAGGTAAGCTTTTATAATAAATTGGAAATATGATGTTTAATACTGATCTTGAGTCAATAAATTTATAGCAAAGGGCAAAAAAATTGCGACGAAATAGTAGTGACCCAAGCTTAGTGTTGAAATCTTCACTAGATTCAATTCGCTAACGTCCAAATCTGTATTCTGTTACGTTGGCTGTTTACATGCGTTGCAAGTATTTAAACATGTATTATTATAATATTGAGTTATTTACACTACATGTATACAGGGTATGTCATTAATCGAAACTTCTGTATAGATACGTTCACTATTCAGTCACTCCTACCATGGAATATTAACCAAGTATTACGTTCAATTCAGTGTTATCTACACACCTATAGGAATTTATCTTACATCGTTATGACAGCAATTGTGATATTGCTTGCTTAATAGTGTTTATCCCAACCCAAAAACTCGTAGAAAACCCATAACATTCGGCGAAGCGTTAACCCAGTTCGTACTACGGTGCTTATAGTACGTTGACGACTGCGCCATCAAAGGCCGGAAAATTTAGTGGATTATAGGACTGCGCCCGAATGAATACACTGACTATAAGAAAAAGTCTGTTTTTATGCCAAATATACCTACTGTAGTAGTTCTGTCTGTCCTTAAAACGACCGTATTCTATAAGAATATACGATTTCCGAGTAAATTTAGCAGTTATAATAAATGGACAACTTGCATGTTAGACTAAATTTTAATTGAAGTAAAGAGAAGGGAATCAAACACCATAACTAAAAAGAACACAATGAAATGAGTAAAATTGCAAAGTTTGCTTTGCGAAATGATATAAAACTTGGATAATATAGCCCTGCAATGTTTTCTAATTTTGTATCTTCGGCTCAAAAATGGTAACAATTTCCGCAGGTAATACAAACATATACAAAATATGCAAACTTCGCAAGGCTATATTTTCCGCATTTTACAACATTTCGTAACCAAATTTTTCGATTTTACTAATTTTAATAAGTTCTTTACGGGAACTTACTTTTTTTAGTCTAACATGCAAGTTGTCTATTTATTGGGCTATAGAATTAACAATTCTTCTCTAATATATATAATGTTTTAATGGAAGAAACATTGGAAACATTCCAACTATAAATTATTCTTTATCAGGTTGGATTAACCGGAATGTTGATTTATATTATTGATGGCACCAAAATGGTGTGAATTTTTTTAACTATATAACAGTTCACACGGTGAATTATTTCCGATTAAACTTACACACGTGCTTAAAATCAAACTATATGTACACTACAGAGTTTTGCATTGATTACAAATCCAACCGTTGTAAATAGTTACGGCCATAATTTTGTTGCCGTTTGTAAACGCAACGACCAATTCAATAGGAAACTCTCTCGATTTTGAGACATATGTCAGCAACTTTGAATTGGAAAAAAAGTAAAAACAGGAAACTATAGGAGATAATTATGTAAAATAAAAGCATATTAAATTCTGACTATCAATATTTCGTTGGCATGTCATTCGTTTTCAATTCGCAGGGTCACAGGTTTGATTCCAGCCAAGGACCTCAGGCTGCGTTTTTCGCAGCTGTTTCTGGTTAGGTCATAAATTACAAATGTGCATAAATTTCCGCATCCATCAACAATTATACTGCTCAACATAAATTTCGACTGTCTTAAACCGCAGGCCGCCGATCGATACTTAACTTCTGGCCTCTGACGCAAAACGAAGGCTCGTGCAGGGATAGTCCAAAACCCGAACGCGAAAAACTGTGCGCGGACATGTACTTCGCATGCATTGGGGTGAGAGCAAAACAATTAATATTTTATTGTTTCTTCCATAAATCATAATTTTCTGTTGATGTTATTAATTGTGGGATACAAGAGGTGTATTAGCGATTAAATTAATAGAGAGCTTACGATTTTAGGACGGCAACGCGATGGCAACGGCTACCAATACAATAGATCATTGCAGCCTAGTTCGTGGCCTTCTCGCTTCCGCCTCATTATTTTAGGGGGAAATCGACGAGGTTTGCAGGTTGACTGGGATAAAGCTGTATTAATTGGAGATTGGGGAGAGGAGAGAAGCGAGAAGGCCTAGCAAAATTCGCAAACTGTCCCCATTTGTCCTTCGCATTGGGAGTCATGGGCTCTAGTTTACTTCGATAATTTTTTGTTATATTTTAATATAAGTTTGTGAGTATTTTACAGTAAAAATTGTATTAAAGAAGCGTTTTGAGAGGAAGTTACAGGTGCTTTTGCCTTATGTAATGTTAGGAAAGTGTGATATGCAAGTTCTAAGGAGTCAACACTGAACAGCTTGGTGTATATTTGTTCGTGATTTTGGACTTGGTATTTTTACCTCAAATATATTGTCGAATTTTTTAAAGGAATTCTTATGCAAAATGTACGTATAATATGATTTTCCGCGTATATATTTATTACTGAGTTGGATCTGTGATTGGATCAACTGCTATTCGACCAGTGTCGCTCGTGTAAAATCAATCGAAAGAATTAAATTATGTGGACTTGTATTAAACTTGATCATTCATTATCGCGTGGCTGTTTAGATTTTCACAGAAGTTGATTGTATCATTGTATGAACTGTAGTTACTAGCTAGTATTCAAATTGTTAAATGTTTATTCAGTATATTTTGTTCATATTTTTGTTGTTGGAAAGGTGCTATTATAAATGGAAAGTGTAAATATCTATAGTATGCCCCTTTGCACTTATTCACTTTCCTCTGCTTCCCATGAGGTTGACAGAACAAACTAGTGACAAAGCCCTTGGGTACAGGGTAAAGTTTAATGACAAAAATCATAGTACAGTACCTATCCCTTTGCCAGGACAATATATTTTGCAATCATAACATATCTAACAGAAACATTATATTATGCAATACAATTGGTTAACTCCATAGAAAATACTGTATAGCAGTAAGGCGAACAATTAAAAGCCACTACTATGTGAATGTTGATATCCTTTTGGTTTATTCTGGGGCTAAACTGTACCTGTTCGGGGCATTTATAATTTGCTTACAAGAGGGGGAGGGCTATGATGTTTTTTAGAATTAAATTTTCTGGAGCCTCCATCCCCACTTTTGTTGATCACAGTCGTTGCCACCCCCATATAATCGTAAACAACGGATGGTGAATTGTCGACTCCCTGTCTGCTTCTTCCAAAAATATATTGACTTTTAATTAGTATTTGTTTCTTATCAATATGAATAATAAATTCTGACATGCATTATAATGTCAAATATTCTTGACCATTGAACTTCCATATCTATTAATAACAACTTCAGTCATAAATCCTTAGAATATGAAAGGTTTGCAACTTTGCATGGCAACAAAAATGAAAACTACTGGAAAGTTTTTGTTGAAGGTTCCCCGCTAGACTACAACATAGTCTGTGTGTAATGTGATTTGTAAACAAGACGTTTATTTACCCCCAATAAAGTTATGCAAAAAAATAATGTACCGATATGTACAAGACATTATTTCAATGCCTTAACCTCGGCCTTTCCATTCAGGTTCTTTTGGGAATGTTCCCAGATCACATATGGAATACATTTGTTTTCAGTTTACTAGCAATAAAGTATATGAGAATCCAAAATCATGGATTTGAAATGAAGCAGTATTTTAAAACATTGAGGTCATGATCCGTGGGTCAAGGAAGGTCATTGAAATTGATCTTGATTGGCTTGAATGACAATTGAATGACTATTGTGCCGGTAAACAAAGAAATGCATGATAAGTATATGTGCATATAGTAAATAGTTATATTAAAATGTATGAACATCTGTAATTTAAAGGCAAGCCTTAATTTTATCAAAAAAGTGGCAAAACACCACAATGTCATATTGAAAAACAAAAAAGTTCTCATTTTCTCAACACATTTTCTCATCCTGTTATTTTACTTTTATTATTGCCAAATAATTTTACTTGTCAACAAAATATATTGGGTCTATAAAATGAAATTGAATTGGCATATGAGTATCATGCTCAATTAATTTGACTTTTCAGTTAGCTCGATACTAGTAGTCGGGCACCATATATTTCACTAACAAAACTTAAATCTGGTATATGTCAAACCTTTGGTATTAAGACAAATATATTTGTATTGATACTGCAATGTACTTTCTAAAAATCAATTCATCGCACGGTCCTTTAATTAGCAAGTGAAATGTTCTGTTCCATTAACCTTACCATTACTTCTAGTGTGTGGTTTTAAATGCTGTGTCGAGAAATACTGGTTAATATTTTTGAACAAACCATTTCGGTCGACACAGTCTTTATGTGGACAATCCAACAAATTGTCAGTGCCAGTGGTGTCCTGAAAGGTCTATCAACGAGACAAAATACAAAATTTAAATGTAATACGTGTTCTAAAAGCATTTCGTTATACATTTTAACACAATAGTGAAGATTATATCTATCCAATTCTCGAAAATACACCGCCATGTTGATTATTGCGAATTTTGCTAGGCCTTTCAGGACGACCTAGTTCGGATATTTTGTGAAACTGACAGCCGGCAAGTTCACGACATCCTATAACTCGCCCGCGCTTGGAAGGCCAGGGACTAGACTGAGGTCATTGAAAATAATTGAGTGATTACAACATAGGAATAATTTAGACATTGTCCTCGCTCTGTTTACAACGCTAAATCATAGATTTTCACGTCATATACAACGGCTGCATTCCAAGCCGAAACAAGTGCAACTTCAAACTGGGTTTAGAAGAACTCTTCCCAACCATAAAACCCATGTCGTATTGTCGTCAACTTCTAAATCTGTATTAATTAAATTCATCTACGATTGATAACATACCACGAACTATCTTTCCTACCATTTGTTCGGAGGAGTTTATTTTGGCCGTTGCCGTTCTAAAATCGCAAGGTCTCTAATAAGAAAAACGCGACGCGTGCTGTTGTCGAAGAAAGGTGTCATGCATTAATTGTATCAAAATGCTTAACAGCCAAACTGAAAATCGTACCCATCTGGAAATCAAGTCATAATACTAGCTTGTCTGGATACCTAAGGTCACAAAATTAACTATTAATAATACTATTGGACTTTCACTCAAAATGTTGAAGTTCGTTGATTTCTTATATGTTTAGGTAGTTCCATCATACAGGAGTGTACAGAAAGAGGACTGAGACTAACAAATCACGAAATATATAAATCCTCCAGGACTGGAAGTGACCTTTATATCTACCAATTTATTGTTGTTTCTGACTTGATGTTTGACTAGAATGTGTGACTTTCTCAGTCCTAGCCAGTGATGAGATGCAATGCAATTACCCTAAAAACTGTAGTCTGTTTGCCGCGACACACATATACATTTATTTGTTTGGTGATTACTTATTTTATTGAACTCGGCTACACTATTTTGAATAAAAATATTTTGATTATTTGTAAAGGCGCCAACACATTATTTATTCACCATATTCGTCAATAGTAGACCAAAAAAGTAATTAGCATTTACTTGTTTATAATAATTTATATTTCTTTGACAGATCACCGTTTAAACTTTCCTCACATTTTGAAACGTCTGCAAGCTAAATCCAGAATCGAATGTATTTTGTTGTGTTTCAATGAAGACGTGTGTTGCAGATCTATAAACTACAAAAAAAACTCTCTTTCTGTCGAGAAGGGAAACTGCGAGCTACTTCATGTTACACCAGCTGAGGAACCTGGACTTTTAGAAGAGCACCCCGGCTATGATCATTACGTATTACTCCAACCAAATAGAGTAAGTGAAGGTTACACATGTATAAAAATACCTGCCCTGAGATAAATGACGCCCATTGAGAAAGCTCCGTGCCTGCAATTCTGAGCAGGTGACATCAATCGTTAAAACTATAATTGTTAAAAGTAGAATTCTCTTCTACTCAATGCAACACATAATGCAACTTGTCTGACAATAATTTTGGATGTTTGAAGCAATGTTGGACGACGAAATCGTTTTCAGGACTTGTTTTCCAACGCCATTGCATTGTTACATGCAGCCCCACTCCGATTCTATAGCTACACCCCTGTGGCCATGCATGTGATGGGAAACAACAAAACGTTTACTTTCACACTTGATATTAAGCAATTATTGGATGAGGCTGAGCATGATATCAAGAACTATTCAGACCGAGGTCAATGTTATCTGCCGAAGCGAAGCTGAGGCGGATAACATAGACCGAGGTCTGAATAATTCTTGATATCATGCGAAAGCCGGATCCAATAATTGTTTTATTATACTTTTAAAAACATGAGAAACGTATAAGACGATTCCTGTTCATGAGGTAGGAAAAGAACAATTTGAATATGAAACACCTTGCACAATGTCAAAGGTCAGCTAAATATTCTATTTCTATACTTCTATTTACCCCTTTGTGGCTTTTTTCGTGCTTTCACTATCCTTATCTGCCAATAATTTGGAGAGTTCACTTTCATTCAGCGAAGCAAATCTGCTGGAGGCCATTGTTGTTTTTTTTCGCGCGCTTAAGGTTCAAGCTTTTGGCCGCGCAAGGGCTTGGGCACGAGAGAGTCCAATAATTTTTTTGTTTGGATGCAAGTTCGATCCAAAAAATCAATTATTGGACGCTGATGACGTCATCGGCGGAAAATACGTAATAAATGCCGAATACTGAAAATTAGCCTGTGCTTTCTGACCAATTAGAAACGAGAATACATATTAAATGTATAATAATTTATATTAAGTAAGCACATAATAATTTGGTATTTCAATAAAGATGATAAAAAAGCTCATGCGTCGTTATGGCCCAAAATTAATACAGTATCAAATTTAGCCAAAGAACGTGCAATGTCAGTTTGAAGATCAAACTGCCCTAAAGTTTGTTTGCAGCTACCTCCAAAATATTGGAGCGAAGATCTGAGCAGGTTAGTAATGAAGCGCTAGCCTTCGCTGAAAACGTCGTAACGTTTTTAGTCTTTTTCAGAGAGCCCGGACATTCTTTAGATTGATATTCTTTTTCTCGGTTTCTCCCGCTAAATGATGTACTTTACTGTTCATATTTTCTGGGAAATCCATTATCTCACGACAGCCTCTTGACAATTATTCAAATATAAGTAAATTTTCATACAGGATTCAACAAAGCTCAACTGTCCTGATTTGCCATGTTTAAATGGCGGAAGATGTGTTGGTGGATGTGGGAATAAATCATCGTTTTGTAATTGTTCTCGCTCTTATGCAGGGAAATATTGTGATAAAATTTGTAAGTAAATAAAACATACGGGCTATTTAACAATTAGACAACGAAGCCGAGTTGTCTGTGAGCGAATAGTCAACGAGGCGAAGCCGAGCTGACTCTTCGCTTAGAGGCAATGAACATGGGCGAAACTTGAGGAGGTATGGGGTGTGTGGCACCCTGCCCCCCCCCCAAAAAAAAAAAAAATAATAAAAATAAATGAATTATGAGTTCAATTTTAAATGATAGAAGGTAGAGTTATTAAGTAACATATTACAGCTAGCAAACAATAAGCAGTTTAATTGTATGCATGTACATTGGCATCGGCAGTTTAATTATACACGTAGCTAAGTGATGTATTCAGTGGCGTAGCTAGCAAAATTTGACTAGTCCTGCTCTAAGACCCACACATTCTAGGGGGGTCCGGGGGCATGCTCCTCCGGGAAAATTTGAATTTTAGAAGTCTGGAATGGCCATTTCCTGCGATTTCACGGCGAAATACTCCAAAGGGAACATCAAAAAATTGCGTGATTAGCGGAAAATTTTTGATAATTTTTTTTAGAAAAAAAATATTGTAACTTTTTGAAATCCATGCATTTTTTATCATATTTCACTATATATTTTTCAACTTAGCTGAAAATGTAACTAAATATAGTCACACAAAAGAGGAAAATATCATGTATACAATACGTGTCTGTATTATAATACGATCTTTCAATTGATCAACACATAATCCAACCGCATGCACATAGTCAACAATTGCGTAACTATTATACTGTTGAACACGGCGTTTTATACACTATAACGCTACCGCTAGCATTCGTTAAAAATTCACTACGTTTGTTAGTAATGTGTTAAGCTTTATATAATCACTCTAGAACATTTTCATCTTAATATATATATATATATATATATATATATATATATATATATATATATATATATATATATATATATATATATATATATATATATATATATATATATATATATACGAGTAGGTTTGTGTATACGAAACGCAAAGAGTGCTCAATATCATAAAGATAGAGCAAATGTAGAATTTCGCTTACCTCAAAATTCCGCAACAGGCGGTATTCTATATATATATATATATATATATATATATATATATATATATATATATATATATATATATATATATATATATATATATATATATATATATATATATATATATATATATATATATATATATATATATATATATATATATATATATATAAGCTTTGATATTTGGTATGGCAATGCCAAACGAAGTCTACTCGAGGGCGAAGGATCCAAATAGGATTCACGGCAAGTACTGTCGTATATATATTTAAAAATCAGAGACTATGCAACTTCGACCATCAATTTATTAAAAAAACTAAAACATACTATGATAAAAGCTTAAAAGTTAAAAACGTTTCGGTAGTTCTGCCTTCATCAGTTTATATTACAATTTAACAATGTCTAAGTTTTATAGCATTGGCAGGATCAAAATTACCATATTATGTAGTAAACAAATTAATGAGGATCAATAGTAGGATCAGTATTACCATAATATGGCTTACAAGTTATAATTATAATAATTATTACAACTTATTATTATTATAATAATACAACTTATTATTATTATAATAATTATTATTGTAATGGATCCTATTTTCGATCGAAGTTCAGATCTCTTATTGAGGCCATAAGGCCTAATTGTACACAGCTGTGCCATCCAATATGCTTCTCTGGTCAATAAAGGGTTATTGGCCGTTTCGCCATTTGCTAAGTCAACTTTTTCAATGGCTACAAATTCCATATATATATATATATATATATATATATATATATATATATATATATATATATATATATATATATATATATATATATATATATATATATATATATATGTAACTTGGGCTTCCTAAGTTACTTTATTTCTTATTCCTACAATGTTCTTTCTTTCAGGTGTTGACGCTTTACGTTTCCGTGGTAACAATATCATCGAATACGGTATTTTTGTTCGTCCTTCACAGCCGTTGAATTATTTTTCTGCATGTTCTTGGATAAAGACAACTGAAGATTCAGATAAAGCAATTTTATCGTATGCATACGAATTCGACGGAACAGAAGTTAGCAACGGACTCCTGATTTTCTTGAACCCATATTTGAGGATATATTTTAAACCTGTTGGTGCTGATCCGATCATAAAGATAAGGTATAAAATATGTTTTATTTTTTTTATAACTTCATTAGTTAAATGACATTAGACAATGTATGAGGAGAAATATCGTTCGTAATTTACATCCTCGCGCGCCCGCACAGTCATGTCATCAAACAACGAAAAACAAACGTTATTTGAGAACGTTGTCTCCTGATGATCGCAGTAATGCATATATATATATATATATATATATATATATATATATATATATATATATATATATATATATATATATATATATATATATATATATATATATATATATATATATATATGTGGGACACATAAATTATACATACGACAAGAACGCCATTCAACCTAATACGCATGATCTCTGCATGTCACAGATTTAAATCAGCGCAAAGGCCTCAAAAGCCCCAAAAGGGCGAAGCAGCTGTCCGCAGTTGCTGGCAGTGAGCTTGGGGCACAATTGCCTGTAGGCCAATATATATATATATTTAAGATTAGAAGACAAACTTGAAATACTACGATATTGATCGAGCACTCTACTCATATATGATTCCAAACTCGATACTTGTCTATTTATAAATATATATGTATATATATTGAAAATGTTCTAGAGTGTGTATGTCATAATTTCCAGGCCGCGCGCAAGCAGAAAACTTTGCCTACCGCGGCTGGGCTTCGAGCCCGCGACCTTCTAGTTACTAGATCGATGCTCTACGGCAACTGGGCAACACGGTCAGGACGGATTGAGGACTGGAAATTACGAACTATAAGCTGAATATCATAAACATATTCGTTTATAATAATCCAGTATCGAACGTTCTAGCTCTGCGAGTGTTATTGACTATTCTTAACACGTGGTGGTTTCTCCAGAGTCTACTCGACCCAGTCGTTGGCGCGATCTATTTATTGTCGAGATCTCGATCTTGTGTCTGTCTGTATGTATGTAAAGATGTCGTAAATCCGGGGAGAATAATTAAGCTTCAGGAACGTTTATTAAATGAGGGGAGCGGTTACAAACATGATTGTGTATTGCGCACGCATCTCCATGTGCGCAAGAGTCAAGACTTTTTGAGCTTTTATATAAATACGGATGCAAGAGATCGAAAGTGTTCGAAAAAATTCAGGTAAGCATGGCTCTATTTCTTTCTTCTAAAATACATCAAAGCGATGACCCTTTTAGTTTAGTGTTCAATCTAGAGGCAAACAATGTGCTTTTACCAAAATATCCCACAGATGGAACTGATCGATTGGTCAAAACGATTTTGAATAATATCTTATTATAATACAAGGAGACAGATTGTACTGCAGGCTGTGGGTAATATATGGCTTTGTTCTCTTAGAACGTACATTGTGTAGAATTTTTATCTGTAGGTAACTTTACCCAACGTTGTCAGTGTTTCAAATTTATATACGAACATGTTTTCTTATATACGAGATTCTGTGATCGGCACACGTGACAGCTCACCAGCTGTAGACCTCTATGCGAATACAACTATAACACCTGTGGATCCCTTTGATGCACAAAATAACATAATTGAACTACTCATGGTGGTAAAACAGAACAATAACAGTGTACCCATTGTGGTTGGAAATAATAATAACAGTGTGCCCGTTGTGGCGGAGCCCATTGAGGCACAAAATAACATTCAACTACCCATTGTTGTAGCGACCATTAAGGCACAAAATAACATTGAACTACTCATTGTGGTAGAGCCTGTTGAAGCAAAAAGTATCACTGATCTGCCTACTGTGGCAAAAAGTAACACTGATCTATCCATTGGGGTAGAGCCCTGTGGTAGACTAGAGCTAACCTGAGATCAGTTTCTATTTTGCAAATATAGCCTGACACAAACCTTAATCCAATCGCTTTCCACCAACAGCAAAGTTTATATTTAGTATCCAATGAAAACGTCTCAGGAGAAATTTAAATTTCACACAATGACAACAACTATCTAATTTTAGTTGTGATCACAAAAATATATCAACAACTGGCCATAGTATAATCTAATTAGCACCAACCAATCAAATGAGAGATTAAAAAATCTTTTCTCTCACAGACCAATCAGATTTACAATCAAGATACGGTTGTAAGGCATGGACTTTGTTAAGGTTTGTATCAGGCCTATTTATTTATTTATAGGCCTGATCACAGGTTATGGTAGAGCAATTCCAGCTTTTAATTTATGTATGCAAGGGTTAACGGGAAGTTAGGTATCGTATTGCTGATTATGCTGACCCCGTCACTGACC